GTTTGACAGTGGCAGGTTTGCAGGTGTCAATTTCAGATGGTGTCCATTTCGTGTAAGTCAACTGGTGGACCGTTTGGTGGTTAAACGATGACTGCTTTGACCGAATATGTTGTGGCTTGAATGATGCGGTCGGACTTACATTACGCCGAGTGAACTCCAAAGCGTAAGTTGTATCGCAGTTCATTTTAATAACAGGCTTTTGATACTTTTTCCGCTCAGGTTTTAGTCTCTGTTGTGTCTGTTGAAAATACAATAAAAGTTGTAATCAGATTTGATTTAATCATGTGGTGGCGCTGTTCTGTTTTTGTTTTATGTTGAAAAAATGCGCCACCAAGTACACATGAACATAGCTTAATGAATGTCTGAAAATGATTAAGTCATCTTACCTCGTGCTTGACGTACGTCATCTTGTGAATTGTTGTCGTTTCCATCGGAGTGTTCAATGCGACCGCACGACTCGACGGGCGAACCATTTCCGGCCGGGTTTGCGCCGGCCATTTTTGAAACTTCTGTTTATGAATAAAAAAACAGAAAGTATAAATGCATGTAGTGATTTCAGTCTGCATATTTATAAAAGTCTCGTCAATAGTCTGTTTTACAATCGCATTCGCAGCATACCGATTCGTGCTAGCATACACATCCTCGACAAGGGATAACCAAGCGTTATGCTTCTGTGTTTTATTTGATCATCTAAAAAAAATCTACCTCCTCTAAGCACGGTTACTAGTTACTAGTTACGTTTGCTTTACAGCTAGAAATTGATTTGGTATGAAGTTTGGCACTTGCAAAGACTGGTCTATATAACATGTTAAGTACACATTGACATAGAGTGAAAACAACTTGAATTGACAATATACCTGCTTATATTCGGACAGTTGACACTGAGATACTTTAACCGGCGTGACAGCGTTGTTCTTATTGTGGGGACAGCGATGCTTTCTGTGATAGATGAAATGGATTACTTTCTCCGACATTAACATCAGAGATACATAACATAAACATTGAAGTTCTAATATTTTGCATGATGTAAAAGAACATGAACAAGAAATCACTGAAAACTTGCGATAACCGAGTATTTTAAACAAAACTCACCCACAAGAGCATATTTCACATATACACTTTTGAATCGCCATTGCGATAAAATAAATTCAATTTTTGGATGATTTTCCTGGAGCGTAGTGTTCATGCAAGCGTGACCCACTACACCATAAAACAGCGATTGTGAGAAATGGAATGCGATTGTTTTGACACGACATTATCTGCGCCGATGCGCGTTCTAAATAGAATGCGTCTCGAAACACGCACACATTCTCCAAGTTTGCCGTTGGTGGCGTTTTCGCAGAACAAATCAGTCGACATTTTGCCGATACGTGTTTTAGGTATTTGCCTAACGCAAAAGTACACGTAATTAACTGAAGACACGAATGCGAAAATAATGTTTCTTCCGAAATCAAATGTATTTAATGGTCTGCAAAAATAGTATCGTCGCCCATGGTCAATGAGTAGGGATCATGGAGTCCAGTGGATTATATCCCCGATTATATCTGGTAACTTGTCAGTCTGCACTCATATAACGAACGAATGTACATTTGTATTACGATTGTTTCAGGGATAGCATTGAGTCGCTTTTTAAGTTAACAGACGTCTAATACAACTATTATAAACCACAATATGTCGCAATTATATTTGCCATACCAATCATCTAGGTATAGGCTCTGCTACCCACGATCTAGTACCTCTGCCCTTAAAATGGTGGAGGCGATCTAGTTCTTTTTCGTCGTCATCGGTTGGTCGACCCAAGGTTAGTCGTTGTACGTTACGCTGCCTTCTGATACACGGTGTGTGTTATAACGCAGGGACAGAATTCACGGCAGGAAGGGGACCTGGTGAGAAATTGACTGTATATATATATATATATATATATATATATATATATATATATATATATATATATATATATATATATTTCTCAGATTTGTTCATTTGGTAACGAAATCTCAAATTTTGGATTTTTTGTGAACATTTTTGTTATTTTTATCAACAATGATATTTTCGACTTCTTCTTCGAAAGTATAACTCCAAATGCGTTCTAAGCAATCGTTGATACTGTCCATATTTGATTTGTTGTCTTTACATTATAAGCTATTTTCAGCTGACCGCTTATTTACTTCTAAACAATACCTTGTATTTTATTTTCTATGACTTATTTAAGAAATGCTAGTACATCGAAGTACTTTATATTAAAGTACATTGAAATGTTACTAATTTTGATCTCGCCCATGGTGTTTATGTAGTGGCCGAGGTATCGTGGTTACAATTACTGTCGTTGTCGGCTTCACCGTTATCGATTTTGTGGCCAGGAAAACTAAACTTATTTGTGTTCAATCTTTCCCAAACTTCACAATATTAGTTCAAGTTTGATATTGCTGGCATATTTCATTAGCATATCTCTTGTGACATTGATGAAATATGGATAATAAGCACTGTGTGTATTATTAGATGAAGGAATGAAGGTTTGCCAGACTGGCCCAGCCGTGTCAATTTTATAATTTTTTTTCTTAAATCATGGTCCGACGTGGAAGATTCTACAAACTAGTTCTGAAGGATTTAGCATATAAAACAATAACATTACTATGACTGGGCCAGTCTTAGGAAATGCCTGTATTTCTTCCCATTGTACTTGTTTTTGCTGCACTAACAATTCGGTTATTGTAACCAATGTAATATCGAATTTGGGGAGAAATAGACATACAAATATGTTACTTAAAAGTAGACAATTATATTTTTATATTATATTTACACAATAATATTTACAAAATTGTGCTTAATATATTGCTATAAATACTTTATTTTTTCAAAATTGAATTATTTTGTCCATGTTTATTTCATGTATGCACGAAATGTGTGATAATGTAGTATTGTGATGATAATAAAAAATATAGTGTTTATTCTGTTTGTGAACTTTCATGCAATTCATGTCATATTCTATAAGGGACAGCGAGATTAATGGTATTATTTCAAACGGGCCACGGAGTTATGGAATGTGCTCTACTTAAGGCATAGAACGTTATTATACAAGTAGTAATTCATATCAAGGGTTTGATTCAGTTTATTAATACTGTATTATATATATTTTATGTTCAAATGTATAGAATCCGTTCCCAGAGTTTTGTTGCTTTGACATCATATTCCATGCATCATGTTTTAAGGTTTATTGGAGAACATACAGTTATTTAGTTTATAAGGGACTGTACTAAATTATGACTTGTTCTACAGAATAGTGTTGGCATTCTACTAAACTGAAATTCCAGTAAATTCCCTGCAAAAAAACCGCCCCATCCCGAAAACTATAGATATTTTTGTTTTGATAAAATAAGTTGAGTTTTAACCATTAAGACACAAATTTAATCCTAAATCACAATATCGTTCACAAATCATGGACAAGGTGGTAAGTAGTTTTACTATCATGTTTATTTACAGAAGAAAATAGACAAATGTCAAGAATAACCTCATGTTTTAAAACATCATGACTCACAGTTTTTATGCAATTTCAAAGCCCCCGATTCACCCATATTCGCACCTCCTTTTTTATTTATTTTTTATATTATTTCTATGTCCTCTAATCCAACTTTTATATGCTTTCGTTAGATGAACCTTTTGAACCCTGCAGATGTATACATATTTTTTAAATAATAAAATAAAATGATTTAATAACATATTTTCCGGTTCACATAGACATTATAAACAATATTAGCAATGAGTGTGCAATCACTTTGCAACTGTCTCCACAGACTCTTTACAACATTACAGTTACCAAATAGGTGTTCTAATGTTTCTTCTTCTTTTTCACAGTGGGGGTGACTATTTTCCATTTATACAGTTTTACATAGTTGTAGAATTTTGTATTGGAATGCTCTAAGATCTGTGGAGATTGTTGTATTGAAAGGTAGTTTGAAAATTACATTTTGTTTTATCTCCTACAAATGTTGGAAGTCTTTGTCAATATTTGGCTCTTCAATAATGTTTTCACACAAAAATTTATACACCTTTTTGCTTGCCAGTGTATTAATTGCAGACTACTCATGGTATTAACATCATGAATGTTTTCTTTCCAGTCATCAGGTATTGGATAGATTAGGCCTTGTATAGTATGGTATTCTGTCAAAGTGATACCTTTTTCCCTTCCAATATCGCCAGTCATGAAAGTTTCCATAGAAAATCAATCAGGTCTATTATTCTTAATATTTTTTTTTCTTGCCAAACTTTTCAGATAGGTAGCCAATTTTTAGAAATCTATTGTTCCATAATATTTGTTTCAGATGTTGTTTGTGTAGTGTATTATGTCAAAGATGACCATTCCCGGATAATATCATAGTAAAAGGGTAGAATTTGATTTTTAAATTCGGATTCATCATAGTTGCAAAAAAAAAAAAAAAAATGATACCGGCCAAAACCTCCTTTTTATTAATAGACCTCACCCGGCGTAAATTTCGACCCCCCCCAACTACAACTACTGTCTGTTTGAGTTTGTCCTCTGAACTTTGAATTCCCCCAACGTCAACCGAGTCTAAGCCCCAGCAGCAACGATTATGTTTCAACACCATTCAGAAGACATGAATCAATGTTTTGCAAAACGGGACCAGATAGCCTAATGAGGGCAGTATAACAGGGGTACAGTTAATTGTAACTGGTAGGTATCTAACGATGTTCTAACCATTTCATACTTGTCTGTGTAATCTGTTATTTATTTATTTATATAAACACTCGTAAACGTTCTTAAACTATTTCAATCACATGCAGAAATTATAAAAGCAGGCGTAAACATATTTTTTAAAACTGTGGATTTATTAAATTAAGCTAATTTTGTTAGCACTCGCTGAGCTAGGAGGTTGTGTTTGTTTTTGGAGACGAATTACATTGTAGTATGTCTGTCTAAAGTACTCACAACATGAAATGAGCGAGAAAATGAGGCTAGGGATAATAACTTTATTGTAACGGTATCTTTACAAGGGTTGTTGCCTTGAAAAGTACGCTATTGTGTCTGTTTTCGCCCTCTCGCGAAGGCAGTAGCGAATGCCTTATGCTAACGAACTGACGAACTAACTCTATGCTCTGAAAATTAATAATTGTTTTTGGTTGTCTGAGCTCTATGCCAGTCATTAAGTAGGTAGGTGCTACGAAAAATAGAAGTCTGATCACGTGAGCAAAAACAAACTTGAACAAGAGCCACAGTCATGTTTTCACTTTTCCCAATATCAGGAATCCGCATATGTCGAGTTTAGTACGTGGTCCCAATTTTTAAAAATATATTATAAAATGAATTCAACTAAAATACATGACCGATTGTTTTATTTACATTTTGTGGGCCAGTGACTCATTTCTGACAGCATCGCCAGTAGCTCCCTACGTCATTTTCTACCAATCACAACCTCGCCCGTACGATTCGATGACTGCGCAGAACACCATGCGCATTTGCAGAGAGAGTTATTTTCGTTCAGATCAGAAGTGTGATCTTGTGTTTTTATTTTGTCATGTCCAGTATTTGTGTTGTTTGAAACGAGATTCCTAAAGTCTACAGGTTGGTAAACAGTTCAGTATGTGTCAAATTCAGATCAAAACCGGCCATTCTTTGTAGTGGCAGGCAGACGCTTTCAGGGATGTGTGTTGAGCGATGCCACGCACCGCACGCACCGCTAGGCTCAGTCATGCTGCGAGCGACTGTCAAATATTTCGCCTCATTCGCACAAGTTGTAAACATTTGTTTGAAATGTTTATATTCGCGATTAATATACATATTTAAGGCTCATTTGTTGAATATAGAAGATGATGCTTTAAACGTTGTGATTGTTTTTTGTTCGTACAGACATGGAGGTAATCGTTTTTCTTAGGCACAAATGAAAGTGTGTTTGAACTTTGACACTCGCAGTCGTCGCGCAGTGCCTAATTGTACTTCTGTTTCAGTGTCACAATGTGTGACATGAACGTATTGTCACTGTCACACACAACTTTGACCGTTTATCGTATGTTGACTGACCGTCCAAAATATATACTAGTATCGTTATTTCGTGTTGTCTGTACTTTTCTTTGTATAAAACTGACTCCTTTCAATAAAACAATGGCATGTAATCTTGCCAACAATGAAAGTCGATGTTTTTGTTTACAGATGCAAAAGTAACGGTGACTCAATATGGGGTGCGTCTTGTGAGTGGAGGTCATCTCAATCACGAACCCGGAAATTGAACAGGAAAAATCAAACTGGATATATCGGCCACATAAGAAGTAGTCTCTTCTAGTCGTGGACGTTATTTGGAGCAATTCCCCTTCTTGGGTCGCTTATTATTTACAGTTACAGAGCTTTAAACATGACAGTTTTGTGGTGTAGACAAGGTCGAGTAAGACCACCCTATTTTGATGCCAAGTTCCTGACTTTTATAATTGTGGTATTTTTTACTTCGTCATCAACGAATGCAGTTGAGTTTGCTCCCCTCCCAGACTTGGGCACGTTTGATAGTACAGGGAATTATTCTGACGGAGGTCTGAATCTTCTAATTGATGGTGCCAATGGATTTATTGATGTAGTTCAGCCAAATCCACTTCCTTATGGTAAGTTATACATCTTATGGAGTTTACAAAAGTATTATCATGGTATGATGTAGAAATGAGACATCTAATTCATGCATTAACTTACAGTAACTGCAATGAACCATGTACGTACTGTTAGTACGTCTATAGAAGAACCTATAATTCTGTCCCGGGGCTGAGTTTATCTCGAATAACACGAAATGTATATAAAGTATATTTTTTAAAAACTAATTAGATCGATTCTTCTGTTAGAATACTGAATGTCAATTAATCAAATAGGAAAATATTAAATTCATTTATGCTTCTTATAATATTGAATTGATTAATTCTCCCACACTATGTTAAGTTGTATTTTCAGCCTTCATCAGCCTTCTTCCTTTGATTATGCTATTTTCTTAGAGCAGAACATACATTAATCATAATATAGGTCTCTAACTCAAACTTAACTTTTTAAAATTAATTACTCTAAATTATTGACAATACTGACTGTAAATTTTAATTTAACAAAAAAAATATTTATTTAACAAACTGTTAATGTTAATTTTAGCCATATACAGTGTATGTCTTGTAAGATACCTATTTCATTTATTTGCTGGTATTTTTTCTAAATATCCTAACTGATTAATGAACACATTGGGCAATAGATGAAATTTTGTTTGTGTTTAGTTTAAGATGCTATCTCAATTTGCTTTCAAGTATGCCAATTAATTATGTACCGATACATTGCAATTGAACTTTGACAATATGTATCGTATACCCTATAAACAAAGCAAAATTATTACTGCATGGAAATAAAGTATATGTTTGGGATAAACTTATATCTCTGTAGTACTGCGAACGTAGACTAGTGATTACTATAAAATAGTTAGTTTTTAAATAAAGCTAACTATTTTTTATGACAAGACAAAGATTATGAACTTAGCAACTCCAAAGCACTGCTCAGTCTGTGCACACTGGTAGTGCCTTGTTCAAAGTATGTATAAACATGTTAAAAAGGTCAATCAGATTTGTTTGTTTTAAAGTTTCCTTGATGTTCAAGGTGAATCAAGTGTAATCTGTTAGGTATGTTTGAACATTAATGTAGGTACCATGGTCAGCTATACAATCAGAGACTGTTCTAAAATTGTTGTATATCCATGGCGAGAAAATCAGAATTTATCTTTATACAGACAGAACTCAAAATCATGAAGGGTCTTTGGTAATTAATATTGCGAATCCAGAAAGCAATTATTTTAACTTATCACAATCCTTGACAAGGTGTTGTGTATTAATTGTCAGTCATATACTTAGTAATGCACTTTGTTAGCAAGTTATGGGTGTGGTGCTGTTACTGGTATAGTGTTTCAAGGTTTTATTGCGTACATCATTGATCTGGTTATGTAAACACCACCTTGACTGCATTGAAGGTAAAATTGTCTTGAATTCCTGAAGAGTTTTCTTGTAGTGCCTTTCAACAAATACAGATAATCCTGATACTATTTCTGCAAGGAATTTCCTGAAATTTCATGATGTAGGACCCTTGAGAATTTTTCACTGCTATAAATAAAATTTTGAGTTTTTTACCAACTCACTAAATTAACAACAATTTTTCTTTTGCGGAATTAACGCAGTTTACAGTACAAGCTACAGACAATTTTATCAAATATAGCCTTGAAAGTGGATGTCCTCTCTATTCTGATGTTCATGCCCTGCATTTTATTTTATATATTATCCACCATGTAACTGGGCACCTGATCTAACAGGATTAAATTACATGGCCATAGTGATGCCATTTTTAAGTTTGGCAGAAAATGATTGCACTAATTATGCAGTTAAAGATGTTTACTAGGGGATGGCGTTCAGTGCAGTTTTTGTAAAACTGGATTGTTTTTTTAATATTCAACAATGAGAAAGGAAAGAACATTTTGATATTTATACTCAAAAGAAATGCTGAATTTTTAACTCGGAAGATTATTGTATGTTATTAAATGTTAAAGACTATGTATGTGCTGATAATGTTGTGAATACTATTTCAAAGTTCAAATTTTCTAAGCAAAGTTAATTAGTTCAGTATGCATTGGGGAGGGGGCAGCAGTGCTTTAACAATATATCAAGTTCCCTAGGAAAGGTTCCCTGTTCATAACTTTAATGTCATAGGTCAGTAAAATAATAAGTAAACTTTACTGGCAAAGTCATAATAAATACATTAATGTTCATGAGATATCACCAATATAATCTGTA